TCAACTTGTTGAGAACCATTTTGTATGGGCGTCCCCACGGATCCTCCTGAAGGGAGTCAAGGAACTCCGTCCACGCCCTACCCTTTGCCACCTTGATGGCCCGCCTTGGACTCAAGGTAACCCTCTCTGGCTCGTTCGGCCGCCTGTTCGCCTCTGCGCCTGCAGCGGGCGAGTCTCCTCTGCTGGTGGACGGCTCGTCGACGCAAGTCGGCGATCTCTGCCGTCCACCAGTAGACGGCCCGCTGAGGTCGAGTCTTGGACCGGGGCATCGCGGCGTTGCACGCCGCTGTAAGCGTCGCCCCGATCCACTCGGCCTCTTGCAGGGGGTCCGTCTCCCGGGTCTCGGGGAAACTTCCCCGGACCCAACAGGCGGCCTCTATCGATGCCATCAGGGCATCCTCGCAGAGTTTCCGGAGGGCCCATCGCGGTCGCGTCTCCACTTGGCGACGCACGGAGGAGAGGACACCGAGCTCCACCGATATGTATCGGTGGTCCGACAAGGTCTCGATGTCCTGCTCCACCCTCCACCCAGTGATCAAGCGCGCGGCCGAGGGGGTTGCCCATGTGATATCCACAATGGACTCCCCCTGCGTCCGCACGCAGGTGGGGGTCCGGCCCTCGTTCACGAGGACCAGTCCGTGCGCCGCCGCCCATCTCGCCAGAGCCCTACCCCTCCTGTTCGTGAACCGGGAACCCCAATCCGTATTCCAGGCATTGAAGTCCCCGGCCACGAGGACCGGCTTCGGACCCAGACGTACGACCGTCTGTCCAATGTCCGACAGCCAACCCTCGAAAGGGGCAAGACGTCTGGTGGGCTTCAGATAAGCCCCCACGACAGCGATGGGCCCCCATTGCACGGCGACGTGCCGCTCCCCTCTTTCGATGGGGGTTGTATCGGGGCCCCCCCGGCTCCGACCGCCATCGAATTGCCACCGAGCTTTCCGCCCGCCCGACAGCCCAGTATGGACTGCCTTCTGGGGGGCGGTGAGGACCGAGCCCAGTCCTCGAAAACGTCCGAGCGGCCCCCGCCGGCTTAACCACTACAGCTGTACCTCCCCCGCTGGGTCTCTGTGATCAATCAATAATTTTAACTTCAGGGTAAGTCTAGTTTTCCAGCAAACCATATCGCGAAAGTGTTAAGCAGCACAGTTGGCGAAAGCAGACGCCGCGACCAGGGCAGACTTCTCAGTCTGCCCCCAAAAGCCCCGCCGGCTCGACCGCCTGCCCGGCCTAAGCGCCCCAGAGCACGATCCCGAGCAATCCTTAGCTCAACTCTAGGTTTAGGTTTTTCGGCCGAGCCATATGACCGACCAGACTTATCATACCACTTGCAATTTCTCGACGTCCTCAGAGTTTCAAAATTTAATCTGATATTAATAAGCCCATCCCGACAGCGACCGCCAGCGAGTACGGTCGATCTTTCAATTAATTTTACGGTAAATCTTACATTATGGTCGTGTAGTCGGCCCGTCACATGACCCATGTCCCTACCGAGTGTCCTCCCCTACACTTGTTAGGGGAGGGAGCGCTATTCTGCCTATCATAGGTATACCTTATTTGTTGGTCTCATGCATGTCATAAACACCTTAACGTCATATATTAACGCATCAAAATTATCGATGGAAAGAAACCGATCCCATTACACCCCATCCAACACGGTATAACCACTGAAGAACCAGCGATCAACGTGGCACAGCCGTATAAAGCGCGATCCAAACCAAAACCGTGCCCGAATCAGTCATATCTTCCTCTAATTTATTTTCAAAACCACCAGTTCGCTTGGCTTATCAGACGGCCAGGGTAGCTAACCTTAGATGGAATCACGAGCCCTGACTACCCGCCAGGACACGTGGCTCCGCGATTTAGGCCGTCCACAAGAAGCCCGCGACCATAGACGCGAAGCATTACAACGGCGGAGCACGGCCGCCCCGATCACCACCGGATTCAGTCCATTCCGATGCACGATTCGTTTTCCATTTACTCTAAAGAGCAGGTCACAAGGGGTTAGGGAGAGCAGAAATCGCATACACGTACCCCCGCTCTCCCCTGCACCAATTACGTGACCCGCTAGCAAGCAACACATAGTGACAGCTACACGACCCGGCCCCAGTAAACCGCCAATATTCCCGCAACGGTTCCGGATATCTTCTCTAATCACGCAATTCTAACCCATAAGCCGTCGCGACCCCTCAAAACGCGGTAGAAAAACCGCCCCCCGCGCACTCACGACACCATAACACTTCCTGAAAAGAGGAAAGGGAACACATAGTATATACATATACAATAGTATCCCTCGATGTATGACAAGGCAGGTCCAGAATTTATTTTTCCTGTGCGTGCCTTGAGAAAGGCAAGCGCACTTTGTCTTCCTGTAACACACAAGTTAGTGACGGGCAACTTGACCTACCTCTGCCCGCCACTTATTAACACACATATATATATACATCAATGTATGTTGTACACCACTGATTCGAGGATCAGGCCCGGTTCCAAAATAATAAGAGTTTTGCAACACAGCCCACGGAGTCTACTCGACACAGCGCAGTGCAGGGCCGCGGGCCAATCTACACGCCCTCCGTATATACGCGCGAGATATACGCGCGAGATAACGCGGGCAATCCGTCCCGTCCCAGCGAGGCATCATCACCGCTCGGGGCACGCAATAACCCGACCAAAGCAATCCCACTCGAAAGCAGCGCACGGCACAGAGGCGGAGCCCGAAATGGCCGCACTCGCACCCCAGCAAGCGCCACGAGCGCCACATTACCGCGAGCCAGCACTACCGCAAGGCGCGCGCGCCACCCGACCGAGAGCGCCACCCAATCGAGAGCGCCGTCCGCACAGGAGCGCCACCCGACCAAGAGCGCCACCACCGCCGTCAGGGATCATGGCGCGCACCGGCACCGCCCACGGAGACGATGTCCACGTCCCACGCACGCCCGAAACGGGAAACGCCGCGCGAGCACACCGCCGTGCAAGAGAGCGCGCCTCCGCACCCGCAAACCGGCCCTGTATAAGACACGAAGTACAAACGTACTCGTAAGGCCGGCCAAACGCGCGTACACCCGGGCGAATAACTCCCCGCCCAAAAGACGGCTTAAAAGACGGCTCAACAGGCAACCCCGCGATCGCGGCCGCGAAGCCGACACCCCCGCACGCCGCCGCACCGGCGAAATTAAACAGCCCGCCGCCACATCGGACCCGACGACGATGTCCGCATCGCGCACCCGACCGCGGAGAACTCCACCACGTACGAGCCCCGCGCCGTGACACCCGCGGCTCCGACACTCACAAAACGACACAGCACAACAGAGTCACACACAGAAGTCCCGCTATAATGCCCCAAGGCACGGCCCGACCGCGCAACCGACGCACCACGCGCGTCCCACCCGACCGACCCGCAACGGTCCCCGCCGCCGCCGCCACTAATGTCCCGTGCTCAACACGACCCGCAGAACATCGCACGAACACCGCGAACCCGCAGGCGACGACGCACCCCCCGCAGACGGCGCCGAACACGGAGGCGACACGCCACTCCACGACGCGCACGACAATATGGCGGCAATATCGCCGCGCCACTGAAATATATACTAACTGGAACGCGCGCTAGAGCCGAGCCGTGTGTACCGAGAGAGAGCATCGTCGAGTGGCGTCTGTCATTGTCTAGTACAGTTCGAACCAAAAGTTAAATCGAAGCGCAGCACAACTGCGCGAGGTCGTGTAACCTCTGACAACGAGCTAATTTCT